AATTCTGGACACCTTTACACCTGTCTGTGAGATTACTCTGCATTTAAATTTCTTCTTGCTGAAACTGAATTATTCAAGTGTCACACTGTGATGTGTCTTGAGAGGACATGACTGTTTGGATTTCACCTAGCTCTTGGCTTTAACCAAACTAGGGTTGCCTTGCAAATTTTTTAACCATAAAATGCTTAATGTAATTAGTTTTCTGTCCTCTCTTGGAATTCTAGGAACTCTTTTTTCGGTTCTTTCAGTTTCAGAGCAGGAAAATGTTCCCTCTGCTTTGCGGTGGGGGACTCGTGGTGAGTAGCATTACATCACATACAGCAGAGATGCTGGGCAGCAAACAGGGGCTCTTCAAAGGTAAACCAAACCTGTTAGCTTAGGGGTTCAGGCTGCACTTTGTTTTTGTCTTGTTTCTGAGTGAGAGATTATAAAATTTGCAAGGTAGTGTTCAAGTTCAGTACAGTAGAAGACTGTAATTATGATTCCTAAATAGAGTGTGAAAGCTGTTTTTCTCTGCCTGAGCTAAGGCCATTTGAATGGATTTTAGGTCTTGATGGTGTTTTTTCATGTTTTAAAGCTGTCTTAGGCACTCCTGTGAGTTGAAGCCTCAGGCTTCAACTTGGCAGTCAGCTCAGTTTTCTCAGGTGTCTGACAAGTGGGTCCCTGGTTGAGCCTGGACAATGACATGACTTAGGTGAAATTACATTCTTGGGGTACTGGTATCTTAAATACCAACTGTGAGGTGCTCTGATGTGTCATGGCTCAAAGGCCAGGCTGCTCACAGGCTGGGACACTTGGGTTCTCTAGTCTCCCTTTCATATTCAGTGCACCAGAACACGAACATATTAAAGTTGCTGAGATTTTCTGAATATTGACTTTCCTCCCTCGCACCCGGAGAAACCTTGGCCTTAGGGTTACTGTGTGATGGTGATTTCTAAATCTGTTTTTTACATAAGAACAGACAAAGTAAACAACAGCACTCAAGAAAGAGCTGATGGCCCTCCTTCAGGCTTTTGACTTCCAGGAACCACTGCTTTTTAAGGGAATCACAGAAAAAACCCCTTAGGAATATTTTGTGCAAGGTTGCTATCTTGCCTTTCATTTACAACAAAGAAATCAAGCTACATTTGAATGTTAACTTACTTCCTCCTTTTTTTGCCTATCAGTTGTTCCCAGCCACAACTGGTGTGATATATTTCTGCACTTCTTTCACCTGTTATCAGAGGCTGAGCTGGTCTGTAAGACCTTCTCCCCATCAGCCTAGATGGGTGTCCCTGTGCTCTGCATTTTGTCCTAAGGAACATCTGTGGGTTTAGGGGTGAGGATCATTTCAGAGCTGATCCCTTGCTAAGGGAGAGCAAGGATTATAACAGAGGTGGTTCTCAGCAGGTGCTCTGGGCACCTGTTTAAAAGAGCAGGCTGTGGGCCTTATTGGGAAGGAATGTTTCTTGTTCTGTGCCTATTGCTCTTCAGGGTGGTGCACAGGAATGGTATTAGGGTCTGGAGGGGATGGGATGGGACCTGCTGAGATTCCTGGGAATCATGAACTTGAACTTAGCTGTCTTGAATGAACCAGACACACTTCTCTGGTACTCCCTGCAACCCGAGAGCTGGACAGCTGCAGGTTTTCCTGGTACTCTCTTTGTGTCCCACATCCTTTCTGGCGAGTGCTGAGGACGTGGCTCCCCACCAAATCTGAGCTGATCTCTTTCAAGGGGGGTGACATCCCAGAAGTGGAGGGGGGACACCCTAGCTGAGCTCACCTCAGAAATCAGGGGGTAACCAGAGCTGAGCTCAGCCCAGAGCTGGGCATGACCTCAGCTAAGCACAGCCCAGAGCTGGGGGGGCCGTGCCCTTGCTGCCCTGGCTGCTGCAGGGCCCTTAGAGCAACCTGGTCTAGTGGAAGGTGTCCCTACCCATGCCAGGGGCATTGGAACTGGATGAGCCTTAATGTCCCTTCCAACCGAAACCATTCTGTGATTCTATCAGGAGAGGGACAAGGAAGGAGGAGGCTGCTCAAAACTTCTACCCCACAGGATCCCCTCTGGGCAGGAAGGCTTCTGTTCCCCCAGAACAGTCACGGTTGTTTTGGCAAGGAGGACAAAGAAGAAGGAAACTGCTGGCTAGCCACCCCTTCTACCCTATAGGATCCCTTCCAGGCAGGAAGGCTCTCGTTCCCCAAGGACAGGAACTGTGTTTTTCATTATTTAAATTATTCCTTTCTTTCACTACTTTGCCAGACAAAGTAAACAGTAGATAGATGTTGACAGCCAATTTTGTCCATACCTCAAAGCAATTCAGTAGGAATTGTCCCCAAGCCTTTCCAAACTTCTGTGAAATCCCAACCATAAGCAGCTGTGAGCTGTGTTCATATAAAACAGTGAACCCTCTCTGGGCTTTTCACCTAACAAAAGGAACATACAGGAAAATGTGTGTCTTAATAGTGTTAAAATCTGCTCCAAGCTGCAACTTTGGACTGAGCACATGCAGGAGAGATCAAACAGATACTGGATATATTCAGTATAATTCATGTTTCATGGAAACTGTTTCCTCCAGGAATACTCTGACATTCCTCCCAGGGATCTCCTAGAGTGTTTTGATCTCTGATTTCAGGACCTGAGATCCCAGGTGTCAGCCCCACACCACTCCCAGGATGCTACCTGAGGTGATTTTTCTCCTTTGGAAAAAATCCTAGCTCCAGAATCTATGAAAGGCTCACCCAAGGCATCTCGTGGAGTCTTTTGATCCATGGTTTTGGGACCTGTGATCCTGAGTGGCAACCCCAGCCTCCTCCAAGAAAGTTTCCTGAGATTATTTTTCTGGTTTGGGGAAATCTGTTTCCGTTCCTCAGAAATTGTAGCTCACGACACAAAAAGAAAGACACAAATGCAGACCAGTGTTTTCATGCTATAAAAAGAGCCATTCCATGACTCTCAGACTCCATGACTTTATGGCCGGGGTTGGAAGGTTTGTCTGCCAAAGCATCCTGCTCATTGGCTCGTCCTGAGCATCCTGGAGAGATCCAGGTAGGCCTTTTTGGCAGCTGGGCATTAGCAGAGCTTAAAATGGGGCAAACTCAGCTGAGATACCCTGGGAGGTGCTGTGTGCTCCTCTCTGCTGCCACGGGAGGGTTTGTCTGGTTTGGGGTGACTCTGGGGGTGTGAGGGGGTGCCACATGTACACAGGCCAGCCAGTCCTGTCCCCCTGGGTCCCTGCAGTGCCCCCCAATAATCCTGCCTCCGCGTGTGGATGCTGGCCAAGGCTGGGCTGCAAGTGAGGCAGCTGGTTGTAAGCTTGCCTGGAACTCCATGTCAAGCCCAATGGTGTTCCTTCAGGACATAGTGCTGAGGGGTCTCCTCTAAGCCTCTTGTGGGTAAGTTGCTTTCTTGTGGAATGTTCTCCGTTACCAGAGAGTAATGAGGGAGCTGGAGAAAGAGCTCGGTAGCTGCTTTGGATCATTGACCAGCAGTCCTGGTTAAGTGGAGAGACTTGCCAGTTGCTTGGAAATGAGCAAATGGAAGGCCCTCGTGCAAGAAAGGTGGGAAGGATGATGTGGGGAACTATGGGCCTGGCAGCCTGCCCTTGGTACCGGGGAAGGTGATGGGGCAGATCATCCTGAGTGTCATCCCCAGGCATGTGCAGGACAACCAGGGCATCTCCTGGAGCATGGGAAGGCTCTGCAGAGGGATCAGCCAGAGATGCTGGGGTGGGGTGGGTGTTGAGGGGTTCTGTGGGGATGTTTGGGAGGATTTGGTGTTGGTGGGAATGTTGAGGAGGGAACTGTGTGGAAGGTGGGAGGCGTGGGCTGAAATTGGATCCAGTTCAAAGGCAGCCTCTGTGGTTTTGCAGAGCTTTGGTTATGGAGGGCAGAAGGAATATCTAGAACTCTTTTTTTTCTGTCAGTGGTCCTGGTTGTCATCCAGGGCAGAAGAGGGGAGAGTTGTACTTTACTGGCCACTTATCTACCTTACTGGAGGGAGGATTAGTGTTTTTTGCAATATCCCTCTTTGTGTGAGGTGCTTTTGTAACACTGAGTGAACTTCCATTCCTTGACAGCTTTTATACCTTAATGGAATTCTTATTAGCTCTTAACAGAAAAGTGTTTGAAAACCAAACAATATCCAATTTATTTATTTATTTTTGGCTCAGTTAATGTTTATTTTTTGCAATTGACTCTCAACGGACCCTGTTAAGGCAAAGGAGTTGCTGGTTTGGGGTGGGAAGCAAACTTGCAAATCTTTTACCTTCGCAGGTTGTGCCAATGAACTTGGGAAGTTTGCAGCTTGATTTGACACTCCTTGCGTTGAGCAAAGGAAAACAATGTGGATTCCTGGTTTCCTGAATTTAGGATTATTAAAAGCCAGATTCTTCTTTGCCTTCACAGCAAAGATGTTTTTGTGCGGCAGGTCATCACTTGCATGCAGAAATCATTCCTGGAGGAAGCAACAGCTTCTGCCTTCTGACAGCTGCCGAGCGTGGCCACCAATTGCTCCAGCTGCCGCTCCCAACAGCCCCCTGCAAGAGCGCAGACATCAGTGCCCGTTGGCTTTGGCTGCCCTGTGGCAGAGAAGTCCCCAGGGGGCACAGCTCTGTGGGGCAGGACTCAGCTCTGCTAGGACTCGGGGCGGTTGCAGGTCTCCTTGGGAGAGGACTTGCCAGAGCTGCTGATTTTGGTGCAGCCCTGGGCAGTGGGATGGGAGCAGCATTGGTACCCTTGCCCCCACACTCCTTCTGTGTGTCACAGCCCCGTGTTTGGGAGGGCCACCAGCCGGCACTTCTCCCAAGGAGCCCGTACCAGCTTGTGTGGAGGCCCCGTGGCCTTCCTGCTGCGGCTGCGTCGGCAGCCGAGGGGTCTCCTTCTGCTGCTGTGGGCAGGCACAGCAGGGGAGGGTTTGCTTAGTTTTTGAGCTGTGCCTAAAGTTTGTGTTCAGCTGTCTTCAATACTTTGGAGAACGGACTCCTTCCCACCTGGGGCAGGTTGGGCGGGCTGGGGGAGGCCCCAGGGCACATGGCAGTGTGTCACAGGGCCCTTTGTGACATGTGATGACTTAGTAGTGGTGGTGAGGTGGCCACGCCTCAGTGCTCCTCGGAGTGTCCAACAGGACAGACAGGACAGAGTGGTGCTGTGCGGAGCCCCCGTGCAGCGAACTCCTTCCCTGCTGATCTGGAGCGTTTTGGAAGTGTTACTCTTGCAGGTGCCCTCGAGGCAAGACTGCGGGACTTGGTGACCCGTAGCCTTCCGAGGTTTCCCCCACCCTTTCAGCAGGTGCCTTTGAGGCTCAACCACAGGACTTGCTGACCTGGAGCCTTTATAAGAACTCTTCCATCCTTGTGGCAAGAGCCCTTGAGACCAGACTGTAGCTCTTCCATGGCTCCTCTCCTGCTGGTGCCCTCAAGGCCCCACTGTGGGACTTGGTGATCAGTAGCTTTTCTCAGGTTTTTCTGTTGCAGTTGCCCTTGACGCCAGACTGTGGAGTGGTGTGGAGACACCTTAGCCTGTTTGGGATGAAGAAGGTGAAGGAAGGTGCTGGGGCTGCCCCAGCTCGGCAGCCTGAAAGAGTGGAGTGGTTCCAGCCCCTGCAGGAGGGTGAGTGGCAGAGCTGGGCCCCAGAGCTGGTGGCTGCAACCAGCTGGACCTCATCCCATCCCATCCCATCCCATCCCATCCCATCCCATCCCCTGTGGACATGACCAGGGAAAGGGAGGGGGAAGGAGGGCCCAGGGCTGATCCCCCGGCAGCTCCATGCACTGGCCATCCCAGGGCTGGCCCTGCCTGTGGAGCACAGGGCTGGGCTGTGTTCTGCGGCCTGTCCCGCAGCCCCTCAGCTCTGACCGCGCTCGATCTTTGCCAGATCCAGGCCAGGACCGGACACAAGAACAGGACCGCGCCCGTGGCCACTTCCGCAGGGCAGCACAGGTACCTGCAGCCACGGCCTCCTGGGCTGGGCCTGCCGTCACTGCTCAGCCTGGCACTGCTGTCAGAGCCCTCCAGGGCACATCCCTCTCTTCCCTGGCCTTTGTTCTCCTGCAGACATTTAGCAACCTGATAGGACCTCCGTGCAGAGAAATGATCACCATGCTGACTAAAGGCACGGCAAAGCCTGACACCATGCTAACTCAGAGTCTGGCTTCTGCTCCCAGTATGGATTTCTTTGGGGAGAGAGTTGTGTCCCGTCGAGATGAAGTAAGCAGCCTGCGGCCAGGACTTGAGCCCCCCAGAGCTTCTGTATCCCACTCAAGCTGGGCCCCCTCAGCCTTTGAGGCCAGCACAGAGTGGTGGGAAGGGAAGCACTTGTCAGGGGAAGCTGGGTAAGTTGATTGGTCTGGCAGCTCTCCAGCTCTCTGCCATGCCTCCTTCAGGTGCCGGCCCTTGTGAGGAAAATGCACCAGAATCTCTCCTCCAACACACCTCCAGATGACAGGCTGTTTATTAACATTCTGAGGCTGACTGATATACACCCTGCTGATGTTGTATTCACCCTCCTGCGCTGTGCCCCATCGTGTGACAGGTACAGGGCCTCCCTGCCTTCAGGGCTCAGGGCTTAGCAGCCTTTAGAGCCCATCACCCTGTACATCCCATCCCACGTGGTTGGCCAGAGGGACGGTGAGTTCCAGGACACTCTGGCACCTCTGTTTCCCAGCCCTGCCGTGTCAGCCCCCGATCCTGCTACCATGGTCCCTCCTTGCTCCTCAAGGCACTTTGGCCAGCACCCCCCTGACACAGAACTCTGGACCCACAGAGCTGCTGCAACTATGTGGAAGACCATCGCCTCATCAGGAATGACAGTGGAGAAGGTGTTGCCAAAGCTGCTCTGCGTGATGGAGGACTGGCCACTGCACAGCACGTCCACCTCCGACGGGGACAAAACAGATGTCTTTGCCCTGGCTGTGAGTTTCTGGAACTGGCCTTTGTTCAGCCCCAGATTGCCTCTCTGGTGGCTCTCCATCCTCCCCCACCACCACATCTCCTTGCCTCAGGCACTGGGCTGGAAATGTGGTTAGGGGCAGGTACAGGGGCAGCAGGCCAGGTGCTTCCCCTGTGTCTCCCCTGGCCTCTCCCTCCCCCACTTGGGCCCTGCCGCATGGATGTCTGGGCACTGAGCACTGTCTCCATCTGGTTTCCTTTTTGCAGGCAACCAGGGTGATTTGGGAGATCCTCCGCCTGCCCTGGTGCCCAGAGCCACTGGTGAAATATTCCCCCCCCCTCCTTGTGCATCTGCTCTTCCAAGTCTTCATCAGTACAAAGCAGATGTCGGAGGAGGTCAACGCCTTCTGGAGGGGATGCCGGGAGAAACGCGGCCTTCCTGCCAACCCCAACAGGTGCTCCATCCCAGTCCTCCCATCCCTGCCATGTGCCAGGGGCTGGGGCCAGAGCTCTCAACATGGCCTGGGCTTTGCTCTGCACACAGGTTTGCAGGGCAGACAGTGAAGGCACTGCTTCGCCGTCTGCGGTGTCTACATTTGGTGATGGCAATGGAACGGAAGCATGGCTGGGACACGCTCCTCAATGCTGACACTCACCACTACGCAGTGGGTCTGCTGGCCAGGTGAGACCCCCTTGTCCCCGCTGCCCCTGTCATTTCTGTCCTCTGCATGGGGCACCACACACAGTGCCCGTGGTCATGGGCCAGAGGGCCTTGTCACCCAGGAATGGCCGAGCAGAGTGGCAAAGGCTGGGAGAGGCGGGTGCACAGGAGGAGCAGTCTGCCAGAGTGCCCTGGTCCCCTGCCAGGGTGCTGGGGAAAGACCAGGGCTCTGTGAGTGAGTCCCAGGAGAGGTCTGCCCACCCAGCTCATGGTTGATGTTGCCTATTTCCCCCTGCCAGGGAGATGCGTCGTGCCTCGAGCCCCTTGTGTTCCCCAGTTGCCCTCTGCCTGCTGGGGCTGCTCATCAGGGAGAAGCCACGCTGGGAGCTTCCCGCCATGGCATTCTTTGTGGAGGTGAGCCTGATGGCGAGTGCTGCCTCGCCAAGCTGCCTCCACTTCTCTGCTCTCTTGCAGCTGCCCAGGATGGTGCCACGCCCTGTGCTGCTGCCTGGGCCCAGCCCTGTGAGGGTGCGGGCTGCTGCCAGCTGGGCACTCCATCAGTGCTCCGTGCCTTTCAGGTCCTGGACTGCCTGGACATGACTGACTGTGGTGAAAACATCCTAGAGATCCTTTCAAGGCACCTACAGAGTGAATGCAAAGAGAGACGTCGCCTGGCAATCAGAGGCCTCGTGGTGCTGAGCAAGGATTCCATGATGGTAAGAAGGGGCAGTTGGCTGAAGCCGTGCTGGAATCCTGGGGCGGGGGAGTGCAGTCACCTGGGCTTGGCTGGGCTTCGGGAGCTGTGGCAGCTGCTCCCAGCTCTGCTGCCTCCCTGCTCAGCTGCCCAAGTCCCTTGGGACAGGCCTTTGGCTCATCACGTGAGGCTTCCCCACCAGAGTGGGGTTATTGCTACAGCCCTTCATGGCTTCCCAGCACAGCCTTGTGTTCCTCACAGGCCAAAAGAATGTGCAGCCTCTCCGAAAGCCTTGTGGAGCTACTGCAGGATGTGGATGTAGAGGTGGTCGGGATGGCCTTGCCGATGTTCATGAATATGCTGCAGAACAAAGACATCCTAATCTCCAGGCCCACTGCCCCGAAGCTGGCTGAGGCGCTCCAGCCACTCTTTGACAGCGTAAGGCTCTGTGCTCCTAGCCAGGGGTGCTGGGTGCTGCAAGGAAACTTTGGGCCTTGTGGATTTTCAGACCTGTGCCCACATGGACCTGGAACAGCTGGTGCTGAGGTCTTTTCCTCTTCCTTTCCATCAGGACAACAGCCATGTGCAGGTCCTCTCCATTCGCCTCTTCCGAAAGGTGATGGAGTTGGTAGTGGCTGAGGGAAAGAAGCCCCTGGAGAGATATGTGAGCCAGAGCCTGTTCCCACTCTTTTTGCACTGGCATGAGGAGAAACAGG